AAGACATAAAAAAAGGTTTTACCCAAATGCCGTCAAACGCCCTTGCAGTCCTCTTGCGATTCTATGGCCCTGTCCCACACGGCACCCTAAACGCTCGCGGTCTTCCTACGAGTCCGCACTTTCGTGACGTAACGGCGCTTTGACCGTCGAGAAGAGGTCTGCTTCGGAGCGCTCAGCTTCTCTGTGCTCACATAAAAACCAGCAATCTGAAAGGAGTAGCTATAGCTGAAGGAGAGGTGATCATCAGTCAGCTTGCTGATGACACGGCCCTCTTTCTTAGGGATGCTATGCAGATCCCTTTGGCAATAAGTGTTATTGAGTTTTTGTCCAAAGCCTCGGGCCTGCGTTTAAATGTTCAAAAATGTGAGCTTTTGGCCATAAAACACTGCAATGACTCCTTTATTCATGATGTTCCTGTGAAAGAAAAGGTTTGTTATTTAGGAGTTTATATAGTGAAAGACCAAAAAGCAAGATGAATTTTTTATTTTTAACCCCATACGGATGAAATTCAGAAGAGATTTAACCAGTGGCTACATTGAGATCTCTCTTTCTTTCTTACGAAGACTGAAGGCCTCTCAAGACTTATTTATGCTGCTCAGTCTGTTCATTTTGAGTCAAAGCCTGGTAAAATTATTGACCAGATACTCTTTAAAGGTAGGGTATGGGATTTGCAAAACGGCCGGCAGATTTTGAAAATACACAACTCAAAAGGTCCTACCTTCTTTCCTCCAACGCTGGCCCTCGTACATTCGAAGAACATGGACGCGCAATCACGCATCTGCAAAACTCAGATACGTGAGATTGCACTTACTCTCTCTCTCTCTCTGTACCGGGGCGACTTGCACTTACTGTGACTGGGTCACGAGCTTTGAGTATGTGCACGAAGGGGACACGAGGGGGGAGGGGGGTATGGTACGACCGTTTGATTGACGCATTTTCTGTCCAATGATTCTAGGGGGTCTTGGAAATGATTGCCTGGAGTTTTTCGAGTCCTGCCCATTCCACAGATGATTAAATTGCTTAATTTTCATTTCAGTGCTTCTAACTCTGTAAGTTGGAATAGGATTTCAAGTGATTTTAAAAAAATGGTCAAAAAATAAAATCACATACCCCACCTTTAAGTTTTTGTACTTTAAATTATACCTTTAAAGTTAATTGGTTGAAATAGTTTAGAAACTATTAGTGTCTTTATGGAACTTTATTCCTAATTATGTTTTTTTCTCAGTTTGGTGGTCTGGATTTTCTTCTGTTATGTAACTACAAATTCGAAAAATTACAATATTATCTGCTTTTCATAGGCAGTTTTTTTTGGCTTGGTCTTTGATATTTAAGCACAACTTTTCACCTCAAAAATATTTTATTTGGAATAACTGTAATATTTTATACAAGAATATTTTTTTCAGAATTGGTTTGATAAAAAAATATATTGTTAGTCAGTCAATTAATCAATTCTCAAGGGTTGTTGTTTTCATATAAGGAATTTCTAGATCATTTTCAATTTATTGTTTCTCCCAAAGAATTTTCAATATGGGTTCAATCCCATCAGGTGCTCTTGCTTTATTGAGAGGAACTCAATCTCTACTTCCAGTCTCTCTGTGTTTTGGTCAATACTCCTGTTGGCAAATTGTGCTTTGCTTCTCCCTATAAAAACAATAATAGATCAGTCCGTTCAGTATTTCAGCAAGACATTGTTACTTTACCGCCTGTGACCGCTTACTGGAATAATGCGGTTGGTAATATCTGTTGGAAAAAAGTGTGGATGCTTCTACATCCCTTTTTTTTAAAGTAAAAGAGAAAATAGATTTCTTTAAAAATAATTCATAAATGCTACCCTGCAAATCACTATCTAAAAAAGTCCAAAAAGTATATTTCCTCCAGTTGCTCTTTCTGTGACAACTCTGACGAAATCGTAGTTCATCTTTTTTGGTATTGTCCATTTACGAAAATGTTTTGGCAAGATGTTTTAGGATTTATTAGGTCTGAAATCTATAATGACTTTGTGTTGTATTGGAAGGATGTGGTCCTAGGCTTTGTTGATTATGTATTTTTTATGTAATGAATATGATCTTGTTACTAGCAAAATTCCATAATCATAAATCGAAATATGTAAATGAGTTTTTCATCTCTCTTTCTTATATGTAAAAGAACTTGAAAAATACCTCTTTTCAATTAAGTTGTTAAAGGGGTCATATAATGCCATTTTTGTACAAGCTAGTATGATTCTTTAGGGTCTAAATTAAAAGTTTTTAATATACTTTAATTAAAAATTCTCATTAGTATTGTAAGAAAACACTTATTTTACCTGGTCAAAAACAGCTCTGTTTTCAGCACGCCGTTTCAGTGCATTTGCCTTTAAATGATAATCAGCCCGCCTCTCTGTTCTGTGCGTACACCATTTGTAACACAATAACACAATAACCATAACGCGTTGTTCAGTATAAACGTGGGATTATGAATTATATTGAGAACATCATACATAGAAAACATGCCGTAATGTACCCTGAGTGTAAACCTTAGACGCATTCATTGTCAACCGTGCAGCTAGCGATTTGCAAAGATTAATATAAATATTAATATAAAGTTTAATAAAACGTTACCGATCCTTTTTTCATGAGCAGCTTCTTAGCAAAACCAGCTCATACTGACCCTCGTTTATAAAGCAGTCTGGTGAGAAATGATTCGCGCAAACATGAAAGCATTGTATATTCCCTTCGAAAACAAAACTCAGCCACTGCGTCTTCAGCGGTTCGGATTAAGGAACATTAAAATGACTGCTGTGTTCGTTATTACACCCAAGAACAGAACAACACAATCGCTTAGACGCCATTCTGCTCATAGACAGTGCTCCAGCATATCAACAATGACCGCGCCGGTCCGCGCAGACTATGATTGACAGCTGGCTCACGAGCGAGGGCGGGTCTGTGTTGAAACGATGCTGTCAATCAACAATCGTGGGAGGGGCTTCCGAGCGTGTGACGTCACAAAATCGAACGGCTCGATTTGAGGCAGGGGAAAACATAAGGAGATTAAAACAAAAACACTGGATGGATTTTTATCATTTTATGATGGTTGTGAACAGGCACTGCCAACACACATTTCAGTACAATCAACTTGTAAATGTGCATGTACCATTATATGACCCCTTTAAAATGACTAGGCCCTGTCCCAAAATGGCACACACTATATGCACTTTTGGTCTTGTGGACTTACAATGGCTGCCGCGTGCGCGTGTCCGTTAAGTCCATGAGACTGTAGGGTGTCCCTTGTCAAAAGCCATTGTAAGTCCACAAGACCGAAAGTGCATATGAAGTGTGCCATTTGGAACAGGGCCGTAGTCTACCTAGAGCCAGCATTTGTATATACATATATAAATATAGGGACCTTGATCATAATGGGACCATGTTTTCCATCATACCTGAAATTAAGTTAGCTAAATTAACTAACTAGTCAGCTTTATAATATCCTAGCTAGATTGCTTAAAGTTGTGTAAGGTTAACTAGCTTGCTAAGATCAGGAAAAGTTTAAATAACTAGCTGAAAGTTGAAACTAGTCAAATGTTAACTCGCTAGATGAACAACTAGTTAACATTAGCTATCCTGATTGCTACATTACTAGACATTAGACATCTGCTGGGCCTAGTTTTTCCAATTTAAAAAATATATAAATGCTTGCATCATTATGAAATTTTATTTGCAACGTTTTGATCAATCGACCTTCCTCAGACTTACAACACACACATGAATGTGCATAACAACATTTATAAATTTTTTCGAATTTATATTGGACTTTTCTGCGATGCACATATTGAATGATTCAGCCATGCCAGGCACTATATTTACTGTTTGGGCACAGCTGTTCAAAATATATATGATCAGATTTCGGTAATCGAATTGGATAAAGTCTTGAAAATTGGTGGTATAAAAAAAAAAAAAAAAACTTTCTGAAATTGGATCATGTAAGTCTTGTTTTTGATCTCAAACCATCAGCATGTGTTGTGTCTAAGGGATCGTCTGATCCTGGATAGCAAACCATGGGATATTCAAATCCAGATCATTTTGATTCCAGATTCAACTTTTTGAACAACTGGGCCCGGAAGATGCAATATATAGGGTATTTGCTCATGTGCAAATCAGTTGTAAAATGGTTCTTGGCAGGTGGTCCATTTACTTTTCATCTGTAATGACATAATTTAACACCCAATGTGCGATATTCAATATGTTGTCAGATTACAGTTACTGACATTAATTAGAAGCTTCTTCTTTTTTTAAATGTGGAATACATTTACAAAATTGATCAATACATGGGTCTGCTTGCCATTGTGCAACAGTAAAGAGCCTAAAATAGAATAAACACCCATTATAATCAGCAAAGCTTTCTACACTCAGTTGTGTTGATTATAATGGGTGTCATTATCCTGTTTCTCTGAGCAATCCAGTGCTGTTTCATCGAGCTGCTGTCTTGCAGTATAGATATGGTTCAGACCACCAAGCACTAAAGAACTTTCCACCAATGGAAGAGTGACAAGCAATTTATCGAAACATGAGGACAGGTGCTATCACGTGCAAACAAGCAAGAATAAGTTTGGTGTCAGTCAGTGTACAAATATTGAAGACCCAAAATGTTATTTTATTATTAAAAATATATAAAAAATATGTTTTATTTTGACTTTGTTTTTTGTATTTCAGTAAACGAATCTAAACAAACCTACAATGTACAATGAAACTGTGTGCTGCTATTTTGTATTTTTGAATTGTCAATGTGAAATACAGTATCATATTTTAGAACTATTCTTGTGAGGTAGTACGTCCTAATGTTTATAATTTGATGTTTGTTTGGTTTTTATTGTCTTGCAGTTTCATGTTATTTAACACAAAAATATATATGTTTTTATGTTATAAATATAAAAACTGAGACAATAGTGACTTTTAATTTGTAAATTGGCCCAGTGGAGGGTTTGATGAAGAATTATGCTAATGATTTTTTTTTTTTTCTGGCTACAGTTCACAGAAGAAGTCCATTTGAATGCCGGCGGAGAGTCCCAGGAGACAGAAGAACCTTCTGATCTGTAGCTGTCGGCTGAGAACATGAGGAAGAGCCGGAGTGTTTTGGCAGTGACACCTATTGATGTGAGACATTTTACTGTTGCGCTTAAACATGAATAGAAGATAATGCTATACGCAGTGATTTTTCTGTCTTCTTCACTCCAACACACACAGAGGCCAATGCTATTTAGACGTTTAGCAAAATCACTTGTTGGTTTTTGACCTTTGCCAACTTATACACCTACAGTATGTTACATGAAGAGATACAGCCAGGTTTTCTGTGCAATAACATGTTATGCTCTTCGATTTCAAGAGAAAGAACTAAAGCAATCAACAAGCTCTAGGCAAGCGTGACCACAAGAACATAAACAACCAATTAAGTACACACACACACACAAACCCACACACGCATACACATATATTATTAATAGCTATTTATGAGGGACATGGAAAGAGATGGCAGGCACCATTAAACCTTAACAGAGAAAGGACAGAACAGAGATGAAAAAAGACTGTCAATCATTTGTGTTATTCATGTTTTTAATTACCTGAACTCTGTTGGTTAGGCTTAACGTTTTACAGTCTTTTAATTCTAATTTACATAAATTATATTATTTACACTCTGTTTAAAGGAGAAGTGTTTCTTCCGCTTAGTATTTCATCTACATTTAGGGTTAGGCTAAGTCATCGTAGAGATTCCAAAATGTCGGGGTTTTTTTCTTTTGTCCTTCAGGAATATTATTATGATTTCCATTACACGAGAGTAGATGTTAAACCTCATGCTGATTTGTACTCGGCTTTCGCCAAGATAAGCACAAACTAAGACGTAGCTTTAAAGTAACCTATGCTTCTCTCTCTCCATCTCTCCATCCATTTACGCTTCTTTCCATAATTGATTTTGATTAAGGAATTGATTAGATTAGGAAAAGTGCTCCCAGTAACGTTAATAGAATGTTTGCTCATCTGGTCTTTAATAATGTTCTTAAAACATTAGCACAAATTTATACTTCGTTCATGCAACGTTTTTTTAAAGTCCCCCTGTAGTCAATAATTTTATCCCGTAAAACTCATCTTTGATGTCACCAACATGACATATTTAAGCGTTTTTTCCCTGAAAAATTGTCTTCATGCCTTAAATAGCTTGATTGTAACTCTACACCCTTGCCTCATTTAGTATACGCGGTTCTATGAATATGCAAATTATCCCCGCCTCCACTCACTCACACCAGCTCAGAGATCCACTCGTTGACGATCACACATTGACGTGATTGGTTACAAGGTATGTGACGTCAGAAACACCAGCGATTTCAAACAGTGTTTTTGAGACTGCAGTTTTAAGGAGAAAATACTCAGCAATGGTGCTGACTTATGAATTTGCACATTGTTTGTCTTAAACCATATTAAAAACACTACATAGGCATACAAACAACATTAAAAACATGATTTTCACCACAAGGGGACTTTAAACGTTTTAGTTGGATGTTCATCTTGCATTTTTCAGCAAATAGTTTCAGAATGTTCAGAAAACATTCATAAGTAATGTTCCCATAATGTTGGCAAAATGATTAAATGGAATTTTCCCTTAATGCTCTCATAATCAAGAGAACGCTTTTAAAACAGAGAACATTCAGAAATAGCGTTTTCATCAATTAAAGGGAACATTAGAAAAACGTTTTAAAGAACATCTATTTGTTAGCTGGGTTTCTATGACAGTTATTCAGGTTGGAGTGTAGGACTTGAGTGATTTTGGTAGATTGCGAAGACACATTTTTTTTATTTGGAAAAATGTGCACTAATAAATTGTTCACAATAGGACCCAATACATTTTTCGAGTAAATTTGGTGATTTGGTGAAAAAAAAGTGATTTCATGTTGACTTTATTATGCAGAGGCAACTGTATTGAGGCAACACTCAGAATGTTAGAACTGTCACTCAGTGATGCTTTCAAGACATTGCTCTGTTTATTTAAATAACCCAGAGCTTCTGGCTCAACCCAGGGCATGCCTTTGAAACGGAACAACCGGTTTGTCTGAAAAATGATTGATGTGACTGTAGGTTTGGTGGAAGCAGCACTGAAAGTGTTTGGGTAAACGGTTATTTATTCTCCATCTGGTGTTGCTTTAGTCACACAGAAGTTATATACATGACCTTTAAAAAAAGTTGTACTCAGTATTTTCTTCATTTATTTATTGCTAGCCAATATTTTGTCTTTGAAAAGTAAAAAAAAGCAGTTACATTGTTCATTTGAGGTAGCTTTCAGCAACGCCTTTTGGAGATGGAGAATTCATGAACATCCACAAAGTTCTGGATTAGGTTACTGTATATAGAGGAACAGTACCTTCACTTGTTTGGAAGTATGTGCACAATAAAGGGAAGTAATGAGGCTGATATTGATTGTCGGAAAAGGCTATTCTCACCTTTTTTCGCTATCACTCAATGAAAGCTTGACCCTCACCTCTCCTGCCTATGATTAACATCCACATCTGCACAGTCTATGGCAGAAACCCTATAACCCTCTTCATTGAAATCCTTCTCTAGAACAAGTGCATCTGATTAGAGTGGAGGCTGAGTTTGAGCTTTTCTGCCACTCAGATGTAGAAAGACTGCAAACATTTTTTTAAACATGCACACTATTCATAAGACCTTGTACAATCGTTCCAGGGCAACCATGAGGCTTTCTAATGCACCGCCTGTATTATGATGATGGTTATCAGTACAATTTGGGAAGTTCCAGTTGAGCATATTGAAGTATAAAATATATAAGTCAAGTCTACTCACATTTATTTATATAGCGCTTTATACAATAGAATTGGTTTCAAAGCAGCTTCACAGTAATAAACAGGAAAACAACAGTGTTAATGTTGCAAAATTCATCATGAAACAAATTCCATTTCAGCTGTAAAGCAGCTTTACCGAAGACAATAGTGTCATTATTCAGCTCATTTTAGTTCAGTGTTGATTCAGTTCAGTTCAATAACAGTGCAAAGTTAATCAGTTATGAAATTCTTAACAATAAAATTATATCACTTAATGAAATATAAAGTTATAAATTGTAAAATATTCAGGTACCATATATTGGTACCATCCCTTAAAATCTGAAACATTGTCAACTAAAAAAACTGCCAGTTTTTTTACTGTAAATTTAACAGGACATTTTTACACTGTACAATAAACAGGGATCTAAATATTCTTTCACTGTATTATTTGTTAACTGCAACAGTGGACATTTTCGCAGCTGGACAAACAGGTCGCATGTCTGCCGCGAGCTGTATTTGTCCAATCAATGTTATTGACATTGTAAATATGCAAAAATAGAACAGAAGTCCCATGTACGATGAGAAATCATTTTAAGTGTGTTAAGCCAATGTGATACTCATATAACTAGATGTAGCTCAGATTCCCTTTTTTGATTGAAATTAACCACTAATAATAATAATAATATGAGCTACTTATAAAATTTGTATTTCAAAGTGCACACAATTATTTGTAAATTTCTCACTTGACACATATTGAACCATTAGTAGTCTGGTTTTACAGTTCTGTGAATGTGAGGCAGAAGGGAGTGCGCTGTGACTCTCACATGACCGCAGGAAGAGTACATGCTGCCCATCTGTTTCTCTAAGCTACGGGAGAGAGTCTGTTCTGTCAGATGCTCATGATCTCTTAGGGATTTGTTGACTTGTGCATTAAGTGTTTCCCCAAACTGCAGGGCATAAAGTAACACCATTATTCCACTCTTAATGGACAATCCACTTGAAGTGGATTTTGCGAAGCCCAAAGGAAGCCAAGCATTGGTTCCCTCCAGTTGTATCCAAACCCAAGACTCTATCCTCCCCTCTTGAAACACTAGCTGTGCGTGTTTACTGACAACCCTTGTTGCTTAACCCTCAATCAAACTCATTATTGAAGGAATCAGAGTGGTTGCCAAGGTAACTGATCCTCCCAGCGATCGGCCGGTCTCTGGACATAGTGTTCATGTATATCTCTATTTTTCTTTTATGTATTTGTTTACTTATTCATTAGATCAATGCCTATGGGCAGTGTTACCCTTCACCATGTTCCTCTTAATTTAACCAATGAAAATTTCTCATTTTCTCTCTCGTCCTCAATGTTGTTCTCATTCATTCCAGAGCGTAGAAGCCATCAGGGCTTTAATGCTGTCTGAACTGAGGCGGCATCACTTGTATTCCATTGGCTCCACTTTTTGTAACATCTGTAAAGCGTGACATGATTATTAGATGATACTTCATACACTCCTCATGGGAGTCCCCTTTCCTTTCAATTAATTTCCTCTCCATTAATTTGGCCCTCTCATTTATATGAAGTCATTTTTCCCATGGCCTTCCAATGTTTGTGTATTTTTTAATGCTTAAAGCTGAAGTCCGTAACCTTTTGGGGTTAAAAATTATCCAAAATAAATTTGAGCAATTACATAACCAGCCAGTGTTCAAAACTATCTGCTTGCCTTAGCTCGATTCAAAACGGTAAGCTTGTAATAATGTTTTTAATTCCAGTGGCACTGGTGGATTTCCGCGGGAGATTCGAGCATGTCTTTGCGTCATTACGTCACATCTGTACACATAAAGAAGAGTCTCGGCTAGTATAAGCTATATTGCGTGTGAGGATGTTGGAGGTGGAGATTTATAGCCTTTTCTCACAGCACTTGATATAATTAAACTTATCAATTTGATGGCAGATCCAGAAAGGTTCAAATGACAATCACCAGTGACAACAGATTCACCCGCTGTAAAATGCAAAAGACTTCGGACATCGGAGTGGCTACAGAAAAAAAAAAAGAAAAAAAAAGAGACGGCAACCGGGCGTCATGCGAAAACAAGGATAAATATCTGAAGGGCTTTAAATGTAGTCACGCAATGCTGATGTTGTTAACATTAACAATTTGAGAACAAAGTGTAATGTGCATGGTTTGACTTGAAATGATAAGCGATCGTTAGATTTAGTCAACGCGATTTACTGCAATTTTCGATTTTCAACGCGATTTTCCCCCCTAGTTGGTCAGAACAAAAGTGGATGTTACTTACTTGTTCAATGACATTTTCCGGTGAAAATTTTTATGTTGGTCA